AAATGAAGATTTTTGAATTCAGAATGCTCAGATGTTTGCTAGATTAAGAATGAATCTTAACTTGGAAAGGGATGAAATGAAGCTTTATTTAGAGAGTTCAAAATGCTTGCATTTTTGAATGTTACTCAAGTAACCACAAAATATATAAAGAATTTTGTATTTCTCAATTTGAAACAACTGAACAGTATACAACTCTTTGCAGATGCCAACCTAAACGTCTCAGCCAGATGGGTTTTTTCCCCTAACCCAGTTCAATTAAAATATTTTATGAAGGACCACCCATGGAAAATAATTAGGAAATAAAATAAATAATCATGTGTACTGTAGCTAAGTAAATAATCCTTAGATTTTAAAATGCAACCAAAGGAAATAGGGGGTGAATTTGATACCTGCAGATGATAGTGATATGCCACAGTCTCTTCCTAGCAGATGAATTATATGAACTAGAATTTAAGCAACATATTAAAATACAGATTACAGGACACAGAGAAAAGAGAAGATATAAAAGCTATGCTTACCTCTGAAATTAAAATTAGATGTTCTTTAGTCTTTTATAACTTTAGCCAAGGAGCTAACATTGACAGGAGACTCAAACCCATTAATTACTTGAGCTTTTAGAAGTTAGTTGGTGTTTCTTTCTGTTCCATGAAATTGGATATCTGCATAAAAAAACCAGTACCTGTAATAAAAATATCATTAACAAAAGTTCCCATTTTTGTGGGTAAGCCAACATCTTTCCTCAAGTAATATGAGTGCCGAATGCTGAATGACACACAGGAATGTAGGGCAGAAATTCCCCCTGCCCCCCAGCCCAGTCCCTTGTTATTGTGGCAACCACATCCTGTAATTGCTACTATAAACTAAAATGTTACATGTGGGCATTGACTGAGAACAGTTAGCTTTCAAGTCTTACATGTCTGCTTGTGTAGACAGAGCGCTAAACAAATACGTGCTACGAAAAAACCAGCCAGCTCTTTCAAGAGTGAGAATAATGTAAATTCATTGGATCTACTTGCCTTACATACTGGGGAATGGCTGTCAACTTCTCCATCTGCATTTTGACTGCAAGAATAAATTAACCAACACATTCTGAACAAATGAGGAATGGAGTACTAAACAGATGGAACCTCTGACATTTGGACGATTTATTTCAGATTTGAAGGCCAACCCGTAGCAATAATGCATAACATACAGAAATACTAACTCAAAAAGTTGCACAAAGTGATTTGACACCTTATTCTTTCAGAATCCCATACTCCAAACCATGCTTCTAAATATATGTGACAGAAAATTAGAATATGAAACTTAAAGTTGCAGTACTAAACAGGTATGTTATAAACTAGCATAAATCATTGCACTGGTAGAAAATAAACTGCAATAGTTAGGAAAGGGAACTGCAATAAAGGTTTTTCTAAGCCACTGAAGAAAGTACTGTGAGCTTTGTCAAGGTGATGCAATAGCTTATAAAAAGGTTGTGTTACTTATGTTTTCCATCCCCTGCTGTGGTCTGCAAGTAATAGAGCCTGAGCCTTAGTTATCTTAAAGAATCTTCAAAAGCTCAAAAGTGAAACACTGCTGCCCTGTGAAGCCAAGATTGTTACGGTCCCTTTGGATCTCTTAAATTTACAGGACAACATACTCTGTGATTATTTTATGAGGTCATTAGTAAAGAAACCAAACACATACATCGAACAAGGGCTCAATCTCCATATAGACTAGTCTAACACAGGAATTCACTAATTCATCCCTTAATTCACGAGGTTTCCAGCTCACAAGTTGTCTAATTCATAACTTATAGCCCATGCACCTATAAGCAAAGTACTTCCCTAGCTGATGATGAGAGTGCTCATCCTTCCTCCTCGCTCACAGTGCGGGCTTCCCCTGCATCACACCGGGAAGCAGGGAAGCCTCAGCAGTATGGCTGCTGCTGGATGTGTTTCAAAAGCCTTTTGGGTAAACTGACGTGTTTGTACCTTCCAGCTTGGAAGTTTGGTCTATACCATTTCCCTAAGTTAGTGGATTCTGAAGGAACTGCCAGACAGTCAATAGCAAGGATAATGGCAGCAGGCAACAGCAAGCTGCAGGTGATGACGGCTGCATGATGACCTGTAGCCTTTCCCATGGGCTGCCTAAGCCTTGCTCCCACTTTGACTCAGTGGTGCTGCTCCCAACACACATCAGGCCGTTGCAGGAGCTGTGGGTTAGCTAAAACCTGAGCAGGACTTGACCGTGCAGTCACACATCACAGAAAGAAAACCTTAAATGCTTTCCGTGAAATGGAAGGAGATATGATCAGGTATCAGTCTGGAGACTACCTTGCAGAACATACAGATTCTTTTTGCTATTTTAAAGACACTGGTTAATATGAAAGTTGCTAAATGTTGTGTAGTAAAAGCTCCTCTCACAGCATATATATTTTACCAACGGAAATTCAAATTACCTAGAAGCAGATCACAAAGAAACAGATGACTCCTCTTATACTGTGTAGTTAAGCTGTGGAAATGTGCAGTTGTGTGAATGCCAACAGTTTACAAGGTATTGTAAGGCTGTGTACTATGCCCAAGGAAAGGTTCTGCAACCTCATGCCAAATGGAAAGGTTCTGCAACCTCATGGAAGAAAAAAAAAATCATTGAAGGCAACTAAAGATAGAAGCTATCTGAAGCTATCTGAGAAGTTATCATTCAGACGCTGAGGGACAATCTGAAGACCTTATAACATATGCTTGCCCTAGTCATATCCTGCTGCAACCATCTGCTTTAAGCCACTGATGGATGGCAGAGACTGAACCTTGGTCTGAAACAGGGTTTCAAAATATATCCAATCAAACCACAGAGAATATATGTTTACCCACTAACAGAGAATTATTTCCTCCTAAGCTATATTTCTTGTTTCCCCATCTTCAAGGCTGAAGAGAGTGAATGAAATAGAATAGAAAAAATACTGAAATAAAGGAGGAGAAATGACAAAAGGTAGAAATAAACATTAGGCTTTTTGAGAAAAAGACAAACAGCTGAACAGGCTTCCGGAGAACTCTGGCTTCACCTCTACTTGTAGGAAAACATCAAAGGTGGAAAAGGCAAGCTAGATTTAAGACAGTGTAATGGAGAATCAGCTGTATCAGAAAGCAGGAATTTCTGTTCATTTTTATATGCATTGTCTGTTTTCTTGAGCTTCATCTTCTCCGTGCTTTATCTTCCTATTTTTAAAAAAATGCACAAATTCTGCCAAGTCTGCCCCTTCATTAATCTGTTTGCTAACAATTAGCACAAGTCTCCTGAAGTAAACTGGGAAAAGGTGTGCAAAATTTTAGTGCAATTTCTAAGATCTGGTCCTGGAGCCAGAAAATAGGCAGTTATATCTCTCAGTTGTGGAGAGGATGACACGTAGAGCTCTGCAGCCTGAGAACTTGGCTAAAGATGCTGAGAAGCAGTACCAGAACTCTGGCCAGACGCCAGAGGTTTGAGACATTAAGAGAGCTGGTGGGTTGATCTTGCATCAGTTTGATGAGTAACTGAGAAATGTTGCTTGGCCTGGTTTCTTCATGGCTCAGAGCCCACTTCAGGATGAAAACAGTCTCTACTATGTCTCTACTATGTTTAGTCTCTACTAAAGAAACAAAACCTGAAAAGAAAGGGTACTCACCAGACAGGCAATAAAAGTAAGGTTTTGTTCGTCATAGAATCACTGAACAATTCATATAGAAAGGCCCCTTTGGAGGTCACCTGATTGTTCCTCACCACCAGCAAAGAAGGGCTAACTTCAAATTTTATCTAACTTCAGGCTTAGATCACATTGCTCAGGGTCACTTTCAAAGCAGGAACTCAACATCTCCAAAGATAGGGATGCCATAGCCTCACAGTTCCCATATTTGACTAACCTCATGGCATGATTCTTATTTTTTTTTTTTTTTTCATTTCTTACATTGAATTGGAACTCCGTGTCTTCCCTGTGTGCTTCTCATCTTTGTGCATCTCTGAAAAGAGTTTGGCTTCATCTTCTCTATGCCCTCACATAAGATAGCTGAAGATAGCAATTTCCCCTTTCTTCTCCAACGTAAACAAACCCATTTCTTTAGCCTTCTCTCATTTGTTCTCCTCCCTGTGATCATCTTCATGGTGCTCCATTGGACTCACTCCAATCTGTCAATACTTTTCTTGTATAGGGAAGCTGCAAAATACGATGCTTTGCTCCAGTGCTGAATAGAGGTAAATAAACACTTCCCCTAATGTGCTGGCTACATTCTTGCTATGGACCAACATGTGATTGGTCTTCTTCACCAACAAAGTACATGGCAACTCTAATATTTATTGTCCAGTTAGATGTCTAGATTCTTTTTCCCCACAAGAATGTTTTGTATCTGGTCACAGCCCAGCGTGCAATCCTGCATGGGGCTATTCCACCACAAGTGCAGGACTCTGCCTTTCTTGAACTTCATGAAGTCTTTGTTTAACCATTCCATCAGCCTGTCAAGATCCTTCGGCCTGACAGCCCTGCACTCCAGTTGACCACCAGTCTCTACTCCAGTTTGATACTTTAACAGTGAACAAGGATTAGTGACTTTTGTGTATTCTGGGAGTTTTTACTTTTTTACTTTTTACTGTAGAAGATTTTTGTCTGTTCCCTTTTCTGGATGGAGGTGCAAGTTAAAGGCAAAACATATTATGTCAACTGTTGTATTTTTTTTTTCCTGTTCTTTACAGATGTAGAACAGCTTCTACTAAAATTTGTCTTCTGGATAAACATGAAATTAAAAATCCATTTATTCTACACGATGGACACATTCTGGGTGATTTTAAAGAAAAGTAATCTGTTTCAAGGAGGGAGGCAACATTTTGCCTTCTGCATTAAAAGAATATTCTCGACAAAGAATATTCGAACAACAGATTTAGAATTTTACCAGCATCTCACATATAATTTTTGGGAAGGAGAAAGTGGGAAAATATCGAAATAAGATTCCCAACATATTTTAAGAGTAAGAAATACCGAATTACTCAAGGAATGAGCTCAAAATCAGCAATAGTTTAATAAAAAAGGTAAGAAATATGTGACTAGCACCTTGAGTCCATAAACCAGACTCTACTACAGGATTGTTTTGCAGGATGCAGTGCTGTGCACTATGCCCAAGGACCCCAAGCCCCACTTGCTGCTGGATCGCAGTGGGGATCCTCATCAGGGTAGAACACAGGCACAGAATGTTTATAATAATACTGGAGCCGTGAGAGCAGTTTTTCCACCACATGGGGATATTTTTCAGACAAATCATTTCTCTCTTCAGGATCACTAACAATATTAAATAGCCAAAGTCTCTTTGTTGGTGGATCAGGTGATTGTATCTTTGACTCATTGAACAAAGATGGTGGAGGGAACCAATGGCCGCAGCCTGCAGAAACAGAAACAGACTCAGAGTTAATTCTCAGATACGGAGCAGCAGGATAGAGCTGTAGAGTTATACTGTAATTGACAAATTCACTAGGTCCCTTGACAAGCCACTGGCCAGTGGCTGCTGCTGCATTCCTTAACTCAAGCCCAGCACCAGAGTCTCTCTAGTCCAGGGCTACCTATACAGGGATTCTATTTATACAAAAAACCGCCACCATTGGGATTCAAACTTCCATGTAACTTAACTTCATATAAATTGATTTCATAGACTTTCTTCTGGATTTCACAGAATCATAGAATGGTTTGGGTTGGAAGGGATCATCTAGCTCCAACCCCCCTGCCACGGACAGGGACACCTCCCACTAGAGCAGGTTGCTCAAAGCCCCATCCAGCCTGGCCTTGAACACCTCCAGGGATGAGGCATCCACAACTTCTCTGGGCAACCTGTTCCAGTGCCTCACCACTCTCACAGTAAAGAATTTCTTCCTAATATCTAATCTAAATCTCCCCTCTTTCAGTTTAAAACTGCTACCCCTCATCCTACCACTAAACTTCCTGATAAAGGGTCCCTCCCCATGTCTCCTGTAGGTCCCCTTTAGGTACTGGAAGGCTGCTATAAGGTCTCCCCAGAGCCTTCTTTTCTCCAGGCTGAACAACCCCAGCTCTCTCAGTCTGTCTTCATAGGAGAAGTGCTCCGGCCCTCTGATCATCTTCATGATCCTCCACTAGACCCATTCCAACAGGTCCATGTCCTTCCTGTGCTGAAGGATCCTCATGATCCTCATGGTTCCATTTCAACTTGAGATATTCTATGCTTCTATGATAGTTTCCACTACTGTGAGAGTCATTTTATACAACATATTTGAGAAGTGAAAGAACATGTTTTTTGGATTTTAGAAGTGCCCCTCCTAGATTTTTGCATGTGATCAAAAACCTGGGAAGTCAGCAGAATAACTAAAAGAAATGAAAATACATTAAACAGAATTAAACTGTTTTTGGATCAGGGTCAGGTGGGACATATGACACACTCTACAAAAATGAGTTACTTTGTTACCTGGATATCCAGTTAGTAACTTCCATTTTCCATGTCGGATTGCTGCGTGCATAGATATATTAAAGAGTGTATCATCCCATGGAGAAGATTTGCTCTGTGGTAAAGTTGTCCTATTGTCAATGCCAAGACCTTAATGAAACAGTAAACTAAGTTAGGAACATTGCATATGCATGAAGTAATTTTTATAATTCTGTCAGAAAACAAAGCAGTATAATCCATTTATTTTTATATATTGGTTAAAGATTTTGTTATATATATGTGCAAAGATCTGTGCTATGATTCAGTGGATATACGTAACTCAGAACTTGAACTGCACCCCAAAAAGTTAGCAGTGGAAAATGTTACACCTGAGTCTGGATAACTGAACTCACTCTGTATGTGGATATTATATGTGTATCTCATGTCTATATTAACGCTCACAAATTGCTAGATTTGCTCATACAGATGCCTATATCTTTTTGCCTGTTAGGAATATAGGGTTGAAAGATCTCCTGAACCAACGCTACTGCTGTTCATTCTCTTAGATCACTCCAGGGACCAAGTCTCAGGTCCTGCCTTGTGTTCACACACAGAGAGATGTGTCTCTGGACTGAGCTGCCTGCATTCATGTAGATCTGTATCTGGCCAGCGAGGTAATTCTACGGCATGACACAGCATGAAGCCTGTCTTCATGCTGTCTTTGGTAGAGTCGCATATGGTGTGGCCCCATATCCAGATACTGCTGAAAACACTCAAATGTCAACTATGTGAAGATCCCCTCTCAAAAGGAAACCTAAAACTCCTTATAGGAAGGAGCTCAGAAAAAAAATTAACATGCATACACCAGGGGTGATCAGGAGACCATTTATTTACTGAAACCAGAAGGGAGTCAGACACACACTATAGAAGCATCCAAACCATCTTGCTTATCAGCTTTAACAAACAAGATAGGAGTTTAAGACAGAAAACCTAAGAGTTTCACATTAACTGTACCAGTTGATACCTGTTTACTAGAAGACTACCAGAAGGTAACTCTACAATTAAAATAGAAACAAGACATCAGGGGGTGGAGAGGAACAAATGTTGATTCTCTAGCGTCTTTCAAGAGGTGATTTTCAATCACTTTAGGGAATTTGAAGGACTCAACTGACAGATTTTTGCCACTGAAATGAAAAAAGAGAATCCATGACATGCACAATGATCACGTGAGATTGAGTATTAGAAGCAGAACGAGAGATTTCCAAAGAGAGTAAATTCTGTACATCACAGTGAGGCAAATACACATCTGATAGAAGAGAAGAACAGAAAGTTTGGAAAGGAAATGTGGGGACAGAATTTTTCCATTTTTCACTAAAGTCCTGCTAAGTTTCTATTTTATTATGGGGGTTCACACTTGGAATCAGTTTTTCTTTAATAAGCACTTTTTGTGCATACCCAAGTTCCCTGTTTACATCAGACTTGTATAATGTCGCCAGATAAATAAGGCCCTAACAGGGAACTACTTGTTTAGAGGATGCATACACAGATTGGGGAGGACTCAGCTCATGTTAGATCATGCAGCACTGAAGCTGATGGTAAAAAAACACAAATCCCTATAAAATGGAGGAAAATTTCACAAACACCCCCAGAAGAATCTCTTCTGGAAGATAAATCCTTACACAGCCATGTGATGTCCATAACAGATACGATCAGTTTAAAGATTAATATTGCTTACTTTTCAACATCATTATGTTATGTATTACTCTGTCATACTGTTTGCTACTGGGAATACTCATCTTTGCCGTCCACTTTCTTAAAGAGCACAGTGAAAGACATTCAGCAGATCAAAAAACACAACCGTAGTTTTTAAACATCATGTCTCAAAATTACGATACTGAGCCTCGGTCTAAAGGAGAAATTATGTGAGTCTGTATTCCTGGTTTTAAGGTTTAGCATGGAGAAAATGCTTCTGAGTGCTGAGCTACAGTATATGAAGCCATAGTATTACACAAGATAAATGATTTAAAATACTTCAAATAAACAGTATGAAAGATTGTATTTTTAGATATACTTTCCAAAACATCCTTAGAATGCCACGCATGAAACTTAAAATAAGATTCCAGAAGGTAAAATAATTTTTAAAACTCCTTATTTGGTCCACATAACAAACCCAACATCCTACACTAAGAAATGCCTTTACCAGAGCTTGTAGTTGAAATTCTTTGGTGGAATATTATCTTTCAGCAAAATTTTTTGAAGAGATAAATTCCCTCAAGTTGAGCTATTAAAAAGAGAACTCTGTCAGTCATGTTAACTCACCCATTGCATGCATTCGTCTTCTGCCAAAGAAATGTACTGTCTATTAAACAGACAAGTGCATTGCTTTCCAGGCAGCACAGGTCAACTTTTATCAGGCATATCAGTCATGTAAAACAGACTGATGCTTGTTTGAATGTTCTCTAGAGAGGGTATTTATAGGACTGCCAGCTTATTAGATTATATAAGCACCAGGTACAGAACTAAGATAAATAAAACTATTGTTTGATATGAGTTCTCTTCTTTCCATGATGTGACTTCCACCTTAAGCTCAGATACTCCTCCCACTGTATTTGCCTGACTTTCTCCTCCTCTTCAGCCCAGCAGTTAAGTTTCTACCTCTGTCTTCTTTCTTCAGCTTCTGCCAGTGCAGGTGAAATGCAAAATACCTGGGCAGTTTTCCCCCTTGCTGTATGAATTTTACAGGGATCTGTTTTCCAATTTGGCAGATTAAAGAAATCACATTCTTTTTGTTTCCTTTGCAAGATAAAATGTCCATTACCATAGCACCTAAGCAGTTTTTCTATGCATCTGTTCTGCATTGCTGGTTGGCTTTTGTTTTTTCTTCTTTATTTACCTTATAGTTGACCAGGCACTAACAACAACCTCATGAACTAATCCAGCAGTCAGAGGACAGATACTTTTTTCTGATCTGGATAATCAAGTCTGCCTTCACATGCCCGCATACTCTCCCTATAGACCTATATATAAAAAATGTGAAGCTTTTGCTTGTGCAAAGAGGCTAGACATTTTATTTTTCTGCCATTTAATCAACAGTGTATCAGTGACTAATGAAATATTAAAGATTTGTTTTTACCTTAAAAAAACTCCCACAGCCCCTCAAATTTCCCTATTTTCAAACAGAAGCCACTGTTTCCTAAAGCACAACTTCAGACCCTTACCAGCTGCTGTATTTCTTTTTAGGGAAATGATACAACTTATTTTAGTTAAGAAAGCAGTTAAAAATTTCATTCAGATATTTATTTTCAAATATTTAATGCTACAACAAATTGATCTAAATATTTTAGTGTTTTGTTTGGAGTTGTAGGTCACCAAAAAGTATTCAAATAGCTTTTATATCTCTATAGAAAAGACAAGTCCTTCAGAAAATGTCGCCCTTGGAAAATTACTTTGGAGTTTATATCATATTTCAAGACTATCCTTAGTCTTTAAAGCCTGAGGAATGGTTTCAGGATCAGATTATAAAAAGCACTGAGGTGGCCAACTCCCACCACCTACAAAAGCAGTTTGTTATCTAAATACTTTAAAAGCCTGTCCCTCTGCCCCTTATGAAAACTTCAGCTTAATTCTTTTCTTTCCATTATCATACATTGCTCCTGTAAACATATATGTATTCCAAATTAGGATACAAAAGCCTAAATAACCTTCAATAGCTAATTTGTACCTTCAAGAAACTTAAGGCCAATGCCAGCAACTCTGAAAAATCTATGCAAGATGCTCAGAAAACTCATCATAAAAATGTTAGCTTCATTTGCACAAATGATTGCCATTTTGATAATTCTAATATTCCATAGCATACTCTTCAGGCAGGACATTGAAAAATTTACAACTGGGTAAGTATATAAATAATGACCTGAATGATGACCAGCGAATACGTGGGACTTTTCTTAAAAGTGAACAATCTTCCAATGCATTAGAAGCCTTGCTAATGCACAAATGTAAGTATCACAAAAGGGAAAATAATGAACATGGGGAAAGAAGCCTCTCCTCACTCTGCATACACAAAAGAACATGCTCTGGACAGCTATTGCTGTTTAGGGAAGAGTTCGCCAAGTTGTAGCTAACAGGCAAAGTCCAGCAGCAGAAAAGCAAAACCACCATTAGAAGTGGCAAAGAATGGGACACTATGTTACCACCTAGGTCCTTGTTTTGCCTCACACATGATACTATGCAGTTTTGATCCTGATTTCACACAACAGACACTGAAAAAACCATGCAAAATACAAAGAGATACGACAAGGAAGATTAAAGCTATGGAATGGCTTCTGTGTCAAGAATGACTAAATAAATAGTGCTCTTCATCCTGAAAGATGGACAACTGATGAGGAACAGGACAGAGGTCTATCAAATTGTGTGTAGCCATGACAAGCTGAATAAGAAACTGGTCTTTTCTAATCAGGCCATCAAATAAATAATGAAGCTGCATATTGAAAGTAAACAGTAGTAAATACTTCCTTATCACAAACCCAACTCAAGTGTGGAATTCCTTTCCATGGGATGCTGTGGATGCCAGAAGTTTATGCAGGTTGAGTGATAAAAAACAGTTCACAAAGTGGAAGTAAAATCCACCAAGGATTCTTATACCCAAAATCACAACCTAAAAATCAAGGGCTCTATTAGCTGCAGGTTGGGGGGTGATGCAAGAGAAGTACACTTATGTGCTTGCCCTCGTACTATTCTTCCTGCAGAACTGCTACTCTTTGAAATAGAATAATGAGCTAGATAGATTTTTGGCCTGATCATACCCAAGACGTGTTAACAAATTGCTTTCAGTTCAGGACAAGCTAAATATTTTGTTTACAAAAGAGAGTGCTATGTCAAAGCAGATTTATGCAAGCCTTTTTATAATAATCTCTGTTTGTATTGAACTGAAAGGGTGAAAACTTTCACAAAAGGTAAGTATAGAATCACAGAATCATAGAATATCTGAAGTTAGAAGGTACCCATAAGTATCCTCAAGTCCTCGCAGGATTACCAAAAACTAAACTGTATGACTAAGACCACTGTCCAGACACTCCTTGAACTGTGATGAGCGTGGTGCCGTGACTACTTCCCTGGGGAGCCTGAACCAGTGACTGACCACCTTCTCTGAGAAGAACCTTTTCCTAATGTCT